GAAACAGTTTATTAACACCTAAATTAACTTAAAATGCCGAACTCTGCTGGCAAAACATGTTCACTTTTATTATCCTGGTGCCTGCAGTTTGGATTACGGACAAAGAGGAAACCGGGCCGGAGGCTGCTGTTGAATGGGATTTCCAATGACAGAGCACTGGTATGTGGGGGTCTGAGCGGCTCCAACAGCGAAATAATATTTGAATAAAAGATCTTAGTCCTAATGAACTGACTGCAAGGATGAAATTTTCATACGGACTTTCTCACTTAAAAACATATTAAAACTACTTTAGTCCCACTAATCACAGCAAATGTAGCTGCCATTGTTACAGGCAAAGAAAGGATACTGTAGCTCTGCCAAACGCGCAGCAGAACCACTTTTCCACCGCGCAGCTGAAGCAGCTTTACTGCTCCATCACAACTAAACTTGTCAAAAAATAAACTAAACAAAAATGATGCAGCACATGCGTTTTTGCTGCTCTTTCTGCTTTTGTTGTGAATGTAACATCATTTCACATGATGCTAGACATTCCTCATTTTAGGGAAGAAAGTGCTTCTAGTAAGAGTTGTCATAAAATACAACTTGTTTCTCGTAATTGTAGAACTTTATTCTTTTAATATTACTGCTTTATTCTCGTAATTTTACGACTTTACTCTCCAAAGAGAAAAAAAAACATTTCTAGCCTGGCCCTAATACTCCGTCATGCAGGAGAGCTGCTCCCCAGGATGGTCCAATCTTTAGCACTGCAGAGGACCTACTGCGCATCGACAACTTTTAACCTGTGGGTCTATTGATGAAGATTTATGGAAATACATCACCAATCCAATGACAAACCAAACCACTTTACTTATATATATATATATATATATATATATATATATATATATATATATATATATTTTTTTTTTTTTATGTCTTAATCAAGATAATTGGTTGAGTGGGTGGAGGCCCTAGCACCCTCTATTGGCCATTCGCCACTGGTGGCTGGTCAGCCATTTACCAGACAAGATCGGTTAGGCGTAGGGACAGAATGGATCACATCATTAAAATGGCTTAGTTGGAGTTGATCAGTTAAAGAAGCTTTAAAATTTTAATGCAGTTTAACCATTGGCTTTGTTCAAAACATACCTCTGAAAGAACAACAAAGGTATAGGCGTAAAAAGGTCTGGAGTAGACAAAGACAGGCAATGTGTAGTCTGCCCGTGCAATGGATGCGATCCTCATCGCTTCCTTTACTCGATAGTGAACAAACTTGACCGTGTTGGTGGAAGACTTCAGCTCAAAGTCCAGGTAGATGGACGGGTAGAGCGCAGTGCTTTCCTTCCAGAGCCACATCAAATGGTCATTGCGAACATGTTCAACATTAGGACACTCCCCCGTGTAGCATTGGGGATGTTGTTTGTAGCCATAATTGTAACAGTCTGGGAAAAGATAAAACCCCCAGAGACCGTGTGGTCTGCGAGCCTCAGCGAGAGCCAGGGTTAGATTCATGAAAGCTCGCCCTGACTTCTCAAAGCGTTCTTTTGCCTCCTTTTCCACTTTGCTCTCTGGCCAGTGTGGGTGAAGTTTATGGATCTGTTCCTTAGACTTTTGACGGTAAATGTCTTTGGAACCCCAATTTCGCACCCACTGAGGCCTCCAGTTTTCCCAGTCAATGACTCCAAGGCCTCGGAAATCTTTGTGTGGTATTAGCTTATCAATGTCTACTCTGGCCTTGTTCAGATGTTTGGAAAGGCTCTGGTTCTGTGGTAGACCACCATTGATAGCAGCTCCTGAGCTGGAGTAGTATGGGTAGTATCCCAGATGACTGTGGTAGAATATTGTGACATTTGGTCCACTTAAGGTCTCGTTAAGGTTCGCTACTATGTCAAAAATGCTGAGGTCCAAGTCCACCCTAAAACGCAGGCGACACGACTCTGTAGGGGCGTTCCAGACAACCACAAACGGCCGATGAGGGATCAAAGGTGCTCTGGCTGGTTTTGTTTTGTGGTCTTGAACTTTGACCTTTCCTTCCGTGCCAATCCAGAGGACGACGGGCAGGAGGTGGAGACCTGTTAGTAGCATGGCCAGAGATGGAGCAATTAGATGTCCTACACAGGAATGAGAAAGAAATTAGATGTTTATAAAATAGAGAGCTAATGTAAGCCTCAGTGAATAAGGATAATGGGTGAGCCAATAAACAGAGACATGGTGCTCTATGGTCATTGAAGTGAATGCTCCAAATTCCACAACAACACAAAGCTGCTCTGTTCTCTGGCAGAGAAAGAATATGGCAAAAAAAGTGTGAGGCTCTCCCCAGCTCACTATTTATTATCACCATTCTCTCCTTATAACGGCGCATCAGTGGAGTCAATGTGAAGAAGTCTGCTCTGACTTATGACCTCTCAGCAGTTAGACCTGCAGTCTGCAGTGGTGGTCTGGTTTAAAGCATGGCAGCTGATGTCATCATTTATGACTATCTATAGCCCAAACGTAGAAAACATTGTATAGATATGAGCTTTGGAAATAAATGCCTACTTGTCAGATTTCCTTTTTATCTCCCTGATCTGTCAGATTACTGAGAGTGAGGAGAAGAAACAGAATTTAAAAGGATTAAAGAAGAATTACGTCACCTAAATAAGATTTATTAAAGATTGAAATAGAATTTATAGATGTTTGAT